CTTAAACAATTAGCTAGGTCTTTCATCATCAAGAAGGAAACAGAGACAGCCGTATTCCCAGCCAGGGACAGCCTCACCAACAGTTAATATCGTCTATTTGGCCACGTAATATAATACGTAAAATACATGACAAACAAGTGTTCACTTATGAAAGGCATGACCCCGCGCTTGCAACATTTCCCTCATGGTCCACAGACTGACAATTGAATTGTTGAGAAATGCGGGGGACCGATTAGGGATCGCCTGCAACACATTAAATGCGTCACTGTCTGCCTTTGTGGGATTCTTGACAATGAGCATGGAAGGTTGAATGCAAAACTCGCGATAATTTATTTCTGATTAACCCCAAGGCAGGGTGGGTTAAAGAGTTCATTTTTTGTTGTTTTTATTTTATTTTATTCATAATACTTCATACCAAATTTCAATCTGAATAGTCCTCGAAAAATGTCGGTGTTTCGAAGTATTCTCCACTGATTATGCGGTGATATCCATTATAAGCATACATTTTTTATATGTTCCGAGTGTTTTGTTTTGAAAAACTCGAAATGATTTCTGAAAAGGTTGGATCCTTCGGGACATGTAGCGAAAACAGTGGAGAAGAAATGGCTCAGAGTTCGATCTCCAGTGAAGGCTAATTTTTCAATATAGTATGGCGCCCCCCCCCTCCCCCGGTTTGCACCAGCAGGCGCCGTCGCCGAGATTATGTGAGAGTTTATGGGCTTGAGTACGCTGGACGCACTGAATTAGCAAGCCACACATTAGAGTAATAAAGCAACTATAAACAAAACATTTCCTTCTTCAACGTCTTCACCTTCACATCGTTCATAATTCTGCATTACGGGACGAAAGCAGAATCCCCCAACTGACATGCACATCCAACACTCTTCATCCACACAAACCAATACGACTGTAGAAAACATTTATTCAATTCAGCAAATACTTCTATGTATGATTGTATTCGTTCACGTTTTAGCTGTGGCCCTAAAGAGGGCCGTTGGGTTAGTTTTACAAGTCATCTCGTGACGAGAGCTTCTTCTCATCCTCCGAAACCATAGAGGGTACGTTACGTCCTTGGCGTTTCAGAGCATAGACGATGTACATGGCGGTGACGGTCTTTCTGGCGTACTCACAGTGGGTGACTGCATCACAGACCACACTCTTAACGGAAACCTTGAGTCTATCCCTGGTCTGATCTACGAGACTCCTCTTGACCGCTGCACTCACAAATATAAAAACGACTCACATCGGCGCGCCTCTTATATACACCTTGGCCCGGGTATCCACGCTGTCCCTGCTCGGGAGTGGAGTTCGCTTAGGGTATTTTGACCTTAATCTTTTTGAGCCTTTTGGCTTGTATCTATGTGATTGCAAATCGGTGGCTTTGTAATATTTATTGTGGTTCGTACAAATGCCCCGTATCAGTGGCTTTTCGGCTATTTATAGCCAGCCTGCTGATACGGGGGG